AGAACCAGAAGAGGGTTAAGAAGGGGTTCCCTTTTCAGGGGTCCCCCTCATCCTACCCAGGAGAGAAGGGGAGGTTCTTCAGTGCTTACCAAGGTGGTTGATGCCAAGCTTGAGATAGGGTTCATACTTGGAGTACTTTTGGGTTTATCAGTTTATCACGGGGCTGCATAGAAATATGCAAAAACAAATACGTGTGCATAAACACGTACATCTATATATATATATATATATATATATGCTACCCCCCCCCTCAAAACCCACGTCTTACTATGTTTTCCTATCGTACACTCTGAAAACCTCTCCCCAGGGACCCAGAATTCCAGAATTCCAGAATTCCAGATTTTCTGAGACCCCCAATTCCAGAATTCCAGAATTCCAGATTTTTCAGAGGCCCCCAGTTCCATAATTCCAGAATTCCAGCATCTGGAATTCTGGAACTGGGGGCCCCTGAAAAATCTGGAATTCTGGAATTCTGGAATTCTGGAATTCTAAATTCGGAGAGCCGACAATAAGGTGACATTAGTGACATTTTGAAATTAGAGACAGAGAATTAGAGTCTTATTAATCTTACCCATAAAATTTTGTAGGGTTCCTTACTACTCACTAGGCTTCCTATCAACATTAAATATTACTCCTGTTCACTTTAATGGGGTTCTTCGAGAAAAAAGGTGACAGTTTAAAATTAGAGACGGAAAATATGAGTCTTGTGAATCTTACTCATTAAGTTTCCCATTACCTTTACCAATACTCCAGTTCACTCTAATGGGGGTTGTTATTCAATTAATAGGGTTCCGAGTAATTTTACTAGCATTCAAATTGTTTTTGAATAGGATTCCTGTATTTGGTTAATGGGGGTCGTATTAAATTCTAAAGGATGCCTATTAAAGGGTGCCTATTAGTTTGTTCGATTTGATATTGATTCCTATTCATTTTAATCAGATTCCCAGTAGTGTTAAAAGGATTCTTAGTAGCTTTCTTATTTCTGGTAATTTGAATAGAAAGTCTAAAAATTTGAATAAGCTTCATAACAAATTTTAGACACATCCCTATGATGTTAGTAGGCTTCTTTTTCAATTTAACAAGATTTCGTACTATTGTTAATTGGACTCTTTTTGCTTTGACAAGCTTCCTACTCATTTACATAGGTTCCTGATTAATTTGAATAGGCTTCGTATTCATTTTAACAGTGTTTCTCATTGATGTGAATGGATTCCTAATAATTTTCATAGGGTTCCTACTAGATTCAACAGTGCTCCTACTATTTTTTGAATATTGTTCCCTATTCATTTCAATTGGCCTCGAAGTATTTCTATTGTAATTCTTAATAATTTTCATTTCAATAGGGTTCATTGCAATTTTATCAGTGCGACTCTTCTTGTTTTAAAGGGCCCACGTTACTTCTTTATAGGTTTTAACAGCACTCCTGTGAATTCAAAAGGGTTCCTATTCATTTCAATGGGATGAACCCTCTGAATTTGGGACTCCAAGAAATTTTAATAGGAGTCCTAGTAATTTAATAAGCTTCTACATATTTAAACCAGATTCCTATTAATTGTACGTATTGAGATTCCTATTGAATTCATACGAACCCTATGAATCCTATTAAATTTAATACGAACCCAAGTAAAACTAACAGCAGTCTTATTTTTATTCATAGCAATCCACGATCTCTCGATCAATTTCTTCAGGTCACTTCTGTTTGAGCACTCGCTCGAGCAATTGCTGAGTGGACCTAACTATGTGAATTAAGCTTCTTGGAATCAACGAAGTTAATTTAAGCAATTAAATCAATTACATTAGGCAAATTAATGTAATTGAGTAAAATATCTAATGAATTAATAAAACGCTACCATGACCAAACCGGGAGGCCGATCTGTCGGACTTCAGGGAAGAGCATATGGAAGCGTGGGTTTTGGGGGGGGGGGGGTACCATATATATACACACACATGTGGAGATGTAAAAACATGCGAGTGGTTTGAACTCAAATTCCTAAGTATTCTAAGTATATCATAAACTTAGAAACCGAAAGATTGAACGATCAAGCACATATTAAACAAAGATACTTGTAATTAGTTGATACATGTATAATATAGTTGATTAAGGCCACAGAGGTCTGCGATTCCACCGGTAGTAGCTATCGGATTCGCTCTTGGCACAGCAGAGGGGTAGGATCTAGGTTTTTTGGCTTGAGGGTCCTGAGAATACCCCTTGGTGGGGAACGAGGGAATTACCTCATCTCACTCCCTGCCAAGAACCAGCCAGAGTACTGCGCTCATCGCTCTCGTCGAGCTACGGTGTGTTGATTTCTCATCTCCTGAACTACACTGCTATTAAATAGCCATGGCAAGGGCAACAACATCAAGAAAAACGTAGTATAGGGGGGCCTTAATCATTAGAATCAGAATAGGGTTTTGGGGGGAAAATTATAGTATACTTATATAGAGACCATAAGGGAATACTATTAGTTCTTCCAACCCCTATATGATGGCGGTTTTCCGAAATTCGGGGTACCTTATTGGGGTTCGCATTATAAGGGAATCCTACTCTTCGGGGGTCTATTTAGGGGGCTCCCTATTTTCGAAACCCCCCCATATGAATCATGTGCCTGCAATGAACATGCCAAGTGCAGCGTTCATGCATTTGTTTAGGGTTAGGGTTTACGGTTTAGGGTTTAGGGTTCTCGACATGCAAGGCCTTCTCACGGCCTGGCGTTTTTGCGCTCAAAAATCAAAACAGGATTGCGCCTTTCAATGCTTGTAACACTCCTATGGATCCCGATGGCATTGCTGTAGCTCCCCGCTCAACGTCTACGCTGGAAGTTTAGAGGGGGGGGGGGGGGGGGGGGCTTAGCAAGAAGTAGGGTTATTGTAAACCCACCCTTGAACCTTCGATTTGCACACAATATAAGCCTGACACACGCACGCACACACACACACACACACACACACACACACACACCCGCACACACACACACACACACATACACACATACACACACACACACTCTAACTAAGTAACTAGCTAACGAACGAACTAACTAGCCAACGAACTAACGAACTAACGAACTAACTAACTAGCTAACTAACTAACTACATTGCACACTACATTAAACACCCTAAACTCGAAACACTAAACCCTAACTCGAAACCCTACACCCTATAAACTCGAAACCCTAAAGCGCCTCCGCTGCAGAGAGGGAAGCAGCCAGGGCCCTGATCTGTGCCTCTCTGTCGTGGCTTTGGGGCTTCAGGGGTTCAAGGATGCTTGGGGGCCTTTTGGGGGTTTAGGGTTTAGGGTTTAGGGCTGTTTCAGGGTTTGGGGTCTGGGGGATTTCTTAGAGCGTTTTGGATTTGGGTATTACCTAGACTTAGACCCCTAAGTAATCCCTGAAGATACCCCCCACTACTTATCAAGTGCTACTTTGTTGGGGGTGGGGGCCGGGGGGTGGCGGTGGGGTCTAGAGCTTTAGGGTACTGGCCTTTTTTGTTGTTTTTTTGTGGTTGTGTTTGTTGTCGTCGTTGTGGTGGTTGCGGTTCTTCTCAGGGCTTTGTTGAGGATCTAAACAAACCAAGGAATTTAGAAGTTCCCATCTCTGTGCGATGCATCTACTTTCAGTTCCAAACCCAAACTTACACTAAGCCAAGCAAACCGGAGCCCCCAGCACTTGCCTCCTGTCTCCCCTCCAGGTCACCCCTACCATAGCAGAAAAGCCTCCCTAATCCCTCATCCTAAACCCCCGCGAACCTCACGTTCAAAACCGCGGAATCCCCCCACAGAACCCCAAAAAAGAAACGCACATGTTCATGACAGCCAGCACATCCAACCCTAAACCCTAAACCCCAAACCCTAAACCCTCAGGTTTCGAGGCTTGAGTTAGCGGCCGCGGCGGCGCCCTGTGCAGATGTCCAGCTCTCGGCCATGGCCCGGAAGGGGGAGGCTTGGGATTTCGGCTTGGGAGGACCTTCGAAGCCCAGTAACCTGGGTTTAGGGTTTAGGGTTTAGGGTTTAGGGTTTAGGGTTTAGGGTTTAGGGTTTAGGGTAATCAGGACAGCCCTTTTCAAAGGGTTGGCTGCTGTAGAAGGGAACCTAGAACCCCAAACAGTGGCAACCAAGGAGAGGGAGGGGGCCTGTGTTCGGAGCCGGAAACCCCGAATTAGATCTAGGGTTTAGGGTTTAGGGTTTAGGGTTCTGGGTTCCGGGTTTGGGGTTCAGGGTTCAGGGTTCAGGGTTTAGGCTAAGGATCTTGGCTCAGGAGTTTGGGGTTGGGGATGTAAGATCCTGAGGGTTCCGGATTCTGCTCTTTCGGACTGAGCCTGCAACTGCGAGTGCATGCACTGCGCCTTCACCCACCCAAGGGACTACCCTAAACCCTAAACCCTAAACCCTAAATCCTAAACCCTAAACCCTAAACCCTAGCATACTCTACTACTACGCTTAAGACCATGCAAGGGGCTCTTTGCTGGTTGCCAGGGTTTAGGGTTTCGCGTATAGGGTTGAGGGTTTGGTTATTCTTATTTGTTTTTCTTTTTTTTGGGGGGGGGGGGGGTGGAAGGGGAGGGTCCTAAGCACATGAGCAAATCCTAGCGGATCATGATGGAGTGGGGTCGATGAGCGCGGTCAGGGTTTAGTAATCGGCTGCGGGTTACGAAGAGCACACTCTTTCCGTCAGGTGAGCGCTTTCGCTCTTTCGCTGGGGCTCGGCCAGTCTATCTGTGTGCGTGTGTCATCTTCTCTAACAGTTGAACCATGGAGTCGCCACAGCATCAGAGATATGATCCAAGTCAATGCCGCCAACTGAGACCCTCTTGGTTCCGTGGTGTTCCTGGATGATCTGCCATGAGAGGGGTGGCCGGATGTCGGTCTGCTCGGGCTCTACGCGTGTTCACCAGTGCGCGCCCCCAAGGAACTGGTGACAACCAAGTCGAGATCACAGTCTTCTGCGTCCATCCGCCAAGTCCAAGGACTGCTTGTGGTGGGAAAGGTCGGCCAAGGTGTCGATCTACTTCTGCTGCTGCATGTGGTAGATGCGACATCCTTGCCTGAACATCCAGTCAACAACAGCCATGACAGGCAGCCATGCGCCTTCCCTCAAGCCGCTAAACTCCCGAACTCTTGGTCAAATGCCACCCCTTCAGAAATCTTTGTAGGGAAGGTTATACTTAAGGGTAGCCTACACACCATACCCATTATAGCCTTACTTAAAGGTACGTATGGCCCCAGCAGCCTAACCCCAAAACCAAAACCCCAAACCCCCAACCCCAAAACCCTACTGAGAAACAGCACGAACCAATCGTAAACCCTAAACCACCCTAAACCCTAGAGCCAAAACCCTAAACCCTAAACCCTAAACCCCCCCAAAGCTGATGGCCACGCAGCTCATCTTGGAGTGCTCGACACTGCTGCTCGGCATTGAGCCAGTAATGCCGTCCTAAGACCTTGGAGGCGGCCGGTTTAGGGTTTGGGGTTTAGGGTTGGGGTTTAGGGTTTAGGGTTTAGGGTTGAGGGTTGAGGGTTGAAGGGTTAGCGGTTTAGGGTTTAGGGCTCAATTTAGGGGGAGCCTTCTTATGTGGGTTTCCTTTGGATTCGCGGTCTTCGGCCTGGAGAGGTGTTCCGGATTCGAGCTCACACTTGGAGGTTCAGGAAACTTAGTAACCCATTATACGTGTAGTAACAACCCACATACAAGCCCCCTTAAGGTACCCTAACAGGGATATCTTAAGTGGAGGGAGAATTGGGTTAGCAAGAACCATGAACCTCCAAGCACTTATACCCTAAACCCTAAACCCTAAACCCTAAACCCTAAACCCTAAACCCTAAACCCTAAACCCTAAACCCTAGTGCCATGTCAGCTCCCTGCCGCCAAAACAAAGGCACCCGAACTCTGAGCCCTAAACCCGAGACTCCATGTTGATCCTAAGCCCTAAACCCTAAACCCTAAACCCTAAACCCGAAACCCGAAACCCTTAGCCCTAAACCCTAAACCCTAAACCCTAAACCCTAAACCCTAAACCCTAAACCCTAAACCCTAAGCCCTAAGCCCTAAGCCCTAAGCCCAAAGCCCCATTCCAAAAGAACCCGCCTACAGTCTTTGAGCCCAGCACCGTGTCTGGACCAGAGCGCAGTCCCAGCCTCGATAAAAGTAACGGTGCAAACAGGGTGGGTATAGGGTTTAGGGTTTAGGGTTTGGGGTTTAGGGTTTAGGGTTTAGGGTTTAGGGTTTGGGGTTTGGGGTTTGGGGTTTAGGGTTTAGGGGCATTCCGAGGTGAAATCCTAAACCCTAAGCCCTTAAACCCTTAAGCCCTTAAGCCCTTAAGCCCTTAAACCCTTAAACCCTTACGTATCGCGTTTAGGGTTTAGGGTTCAGGGTACAGGGTTTCGGGTTTAGGGCGTCTCGCCACGCAGAGGCGCAGGCAAGAATGTAGGGTTTATAGGGCCCATATGGGGCTTTCGAAAAGCGGGGTTCCATTTTTGGGGATCCGAAGGGGTACCCTTCGTAAACTTCCGTATATAGGGGCCTGCAGTTTTGTTGGGTGTGTTTTTGGTTTCGGGCCTTTGATGCGAAAGGAGAGGGAAACTAGAGTGCATTGGCTTAGGGTTTAGGGCTTAGGGTTGCTTAGGATGAATCGTAGGAGGTCGGCAGCGCTTTGGCATCGCTTTGGCTGCTGCCGGCGTTGGAAGAATTTCAACCTAAATCTAAACTAGTTGGCAAACTACTCTTTGGCCTTGAACCCTAAACCCTACACCCCAAACCCTAAACCCCCAAACTCCCAAACCCTACACCCTAAACCCTGAAATCCCAAACCCCAAACAGGCAGAGCAGCGGCAGATCACGGTCGTGTAGCCGCGTGAAGGACCGGAGGTCCACCTCCTGCGCGGCTCATGAGGTCGGACTGGCGGCTCAGGCTTAGGGTTTGGGGTTTAGGGTTGAGGGTTTGGGGTTTGGGGTTTAGGGTTGAGGGTTGAGGGTTGAGGGGCTGCGTGCTGTCGTTTTCAGATTGTAAAGGAGAAGCTTCACAATCGTTGCATTCAAGGCCAGACACTGCAAAGGCGGGACTACGTAGACTATTCTCTACTACGCTGTCCTCGACTCCCTTAGAAGCTGCAAGTATTAAAAACTCACCCCACGCAACTCGGATCGTGGCCCGTCCTGAGGACCATCTTGCTTGGGGAAGTAGCGCGGGTCGAATAGCATGTGCCACATGTGCTCGAACCAGGCGCAGACGCCCTTGTTGTGCGGATCATTCCTTGGGGAACCCAAAGGCTCCTATATGTAGTACCGTTTTGGGGTAGTATATCAGCATCCCCTATAGCTTACCCTACATTGGAGCCTTCAGGCAAGCAGTATATGAAGAAGGTTTTTTTTTTTTTTAATTCCTTGGCCCTAAACCCTAAAACCAGAACCCTAAACCCTACTATAAACCCTATAAACACTATAAACCCTATAAACCCTAAAACCTAAAAGGTTTATCTCGTCCCCAAGGCTCACCGAGAGGTCGATGCGCCTGGAGATGAACTTCGTGCCCGGCAAGAGCTCGAAGGAGCTCCTCCAGGCACTTCTGTAGAGGAGAAAAAGGCTTTTTTCTTCTTAGTCGATTTTTCTTGATTTTTATGTCATTGGTACTTCTGTAAAGGAAAAAAGGAATCTTTCGTCTTAGCCAATTATTATTGACTGATATGTTTTGTTTATGTTGGTTATTTACTTTTTTGTTTGTTTGCGGGGGAGGGAGGGGGGGGGGGCAATGTATTTTACTGTGCTATGCTATATTTTCTTGTGTCTTGGTACAGCACTAGATATGCCACTCTGTACTAGAATAGCATGTGATATTTTGTTATGCTGTAGTATAGTATGTGGGTACTAGTACTTGTATTTGTACTAGTAGTAGTACAGTTTAGTATACCATACTGTACGTTTCTGAAGCTCCATCTTCGTTTCCTTTCTTGGAGATGCTTGTTTAATTGTCCAATCAAACTTTAGGGATGTGACCTGCATAAGCTTCCTGTCTTCCAGATCCTTGCGTGCCGACCTTTGCAGTTGCACTTCGTTTATCTAATGCTGCTATGTCTTGAGAAATCCCCTGGGAAGCGTAGACTTTTGACCACACTGTGGTCATCAAATTATCTACTCTTTTTATAGTTTGCAGACATAAGACATACTTCGCTTTAATGTTGTCTTCGCATCTTCTTGCAGCATGACACGTCGTTGACCGAAATCTTCATTCGATTTCATGGTGTCGTTTTTGGTGTTCACATTCTGCCAAGAACCACATTCATTGGTTCACTGGATATGGAATTATGGATCCAGAACGTATTTTAAAGTACCGGGGGGGGGGGGGGGGTTCTGCACACAAAAGGACTACAACTCACCCCCATTATCAAGAAGCTGTTGTAGCTCCTCAATTTCTGGGCAACAAGAACTCCTCGACATATTCTTTAATAGAACAGAACAGAATATACACGACATACATACACTGTATGTATACTGGCGAAACTTATGAACAAAAGTGCATTATGAAGAACATGTGAATTCTAGCCTAGGGTACTGAGACGGGCCCATCGTTTACAGTAACCCCCCCAGGCCCATATACAAATAGATATATATATATATATATATATATAGATAGATAGATGAATTCTCTAGATTATGGTTCCCTCAGTGTTCCCTTTCACAAGCGGAGTCAAAAATTCAGCGTACCCCCGCAAAAGGGGCATCATGTAGAAAGCGGCCCTCCTGGCCGAGAGGACCCGGGAGAGGTACCGCCAGTACCTTGCCGGGCGACGGAGCACAGCCCGGCGAGTCACCAGAAGTTGGGAGAAGTCGTAGCCACCCAGGTCGTCCCCTTAGTTGTCCAGTAAGCTGGGGGAATTAAAGGGTTAACCTTTTTGGGATTTTCTAGGGATTAGAATACCCCAATAAAGGTTAAAGGCTACCTACTCTACTACTAAGTCTCCGGAGAAGGGGTCCAAGTCCCGGCCAAAGACCATCCGCCACATGTTCTCCAAGAGCCTGGGGTTGTAGCCACGGTCACATGGCCCCAACCTGCCACCTGCGCTGCGCTACACTAAGACCCTTCTTGGGGGAACTTTGTTGTAAGGCGTTGAAATGAACCTGGTACCTCAGCTTTCGTTCACATAATACTTCTCGCGTCGACCTTCTTACACTCGGACCTCCATTCGACAAGGACCACAAAAATAGTAGATCCTCATGTGCAAAAATGCCCACCTGCACCAGGTTCGATGTCGCAGTGGTAGCGCAAGTGGGAGGCCACTCGCCCCTCTGAAGTCACCGGACCCTCGTGTCTCCAGCCCAGGTACCTCAGATGCTCTTGAAAACAACTCTGGCCCCTTATACCGACACAACCGGAACAAGTCTGATTCACCCTAAACCCTAAACCCTAAACCCTAAACCCTAAACCCTAAACCCAGCTATCCCAAGAACTGCTCAGGTACAGGAAGTCAACCTCCTGAGGCCATGCCCCGTTCAACAGGGCGCGGAAGACAGACACCACCAGCCAAGCGCGGATGTGCTCCAAGAAGTCCTATACTCCCCCCTTAGGGTTTTGGGGGTTTAGGGTTTAGGGTTTAGGGTTTAGGGTTTGGGGTTTGGGGTTTGGGGTTTGGGGTTTGGGGTTTGGGGTTTGGGGTTTAGGGTTTATAAGCAAAAGATGTAAAATACTTCCCAAGGGGGACAAAGAGTCTGGATGCAGCAGCATGGTGATGTTTCCGAGGGTCTCACTGTTGGAGGCCATGGCCAGGTGATGCACGTAGGCAGCCTACACTCCCCTTAGAACCTTAATAAACATATAATACTTTGTCATATCCTCTTGGGTTTTTTATAAATAAAAACAACGTAACTCCCAAGGGGGATAGAGCAGCTACATCTCCCGTGGGGACCTCCTCCTCAAAGACGGCCAGGTGGAGGGGAGGCAGGCTCCCATGCGACCCGCCCCTCTGGCCCCAAAGGCCTGCACCAGGGGCTCTGAAGAGCTGCCTCTACTGATCTTGCAAACGTTTCCTAAGTCTAGCTGCTTCTTAGCAAGACTTCGAACTCTAGCCTCTAGCTGTTTGTTGGGAGGTACTTACAGTACCCCAAAAAACTATAGAAAAAACGTTTCCAAAAACCCCCCAAAGTTGCAGGATGCTCTCCGGCAGCCCCTTGAAGATTGCCTCGGCCAGCCGGGCCTCCTCTTGTGGCGAGATGGAGCCCGTGTCGGCGTGACGGCCAAAGAGGCCGTAGGTCCCGCAGACGGCGTAGACGAAGAGCCGAAATCCTTGGGGGCAAAAAAAGCAGTAGCGTGCGCAGGACATGTAGCTGCAAAGCGAACCTTCAGGCCCAATAGGCCACCCTTCTGGAGTCCATGTATTGTTGCAAGGATCCCTACACCCTAAGCCTCTAAACCCCCTAAACACCCCCCAAAACGCCCTCAACCCTGATGTCCCCCAAGGATCGGGCATGCCAGAAGGATCCCTATACCCTAACTACCCCCCTACACCCTAATCTCCCCAAGGATCGGGCTAAACCCTAATCCCTAAACTCTAAACCCTAAACCCTAAACCCTAAACCCCAAACCCTAAACCCTAATCTCCCCAAGGATCGGGCATGCCTGAAGAAGCCGCGGAGTCTGTTGTGGTCTCGCGCCTGCCTTGCCTGAAGGGTGCCCGGAGGCCAGCCATCCAGGGGGTCGAATGGAGGCACCAGGCCCGTGCCGATCAAGGCCAGCCCCTGGAAAAGATTGTTTAGGGTTTCGGGTTTAGGGTTTGGGGGGTTGATCAGGGTTCAAGCAAGAGAGGCTTTATCTAGGGCTTTCAGAAAAGAAGGCTCAGGTTTGATGGTGTACAGCAGAGGTAGGCTCACAAGATTCGAAGCTGCATACTTTCCGCGCACTCTGCTATCGAAATTACTTCCGGAATTTCCGCAAGCTTGTGTACGTAACAAGCACTCTTAGACCCTCATGAAGAACCTCAGAGAACCCCGAAACTTAGTCCCAAACTCCTCCAGCCTCTGAAATGGCAGAGAGCTCCCCAAACTTGCAGAGCGGGAAAACCAGGTCCACCGTCCAGGGCCGGGCAGGTGGCAGCCGCCTGGCTTCCTCCACAAGAGGCTTAATTAGGGTTTAGGGTTTAGGGCTTGGGGGTTTAGGGGGGGTGCTACTGGGACCCTATATATATATATATGTATATATATATATATATTATTTATTTATTTACCTGCAGTGTTACATAGGGGCGCTTACTACTGTTCCTAAATCGTAGGTAAATAGGGTCCCAGGTTGGGTTTAGGGCCCTTTGAGAGAAGGATATGCCCAAAGTTCATGCCAAGGATGCTTCGTGACTTGTTTCATGCGTATGTCTTGGGATGTTCCCCGCTATACTAACATAACAGTCCTTGATAGGGATTCTAGCACCCGGTTCGGGTTCGGGTTCGGCTCGTAATTCTATTAAGGGCTGTTAGTATAAGGGGGAACATCCCAATGTATCTCCTCGTTCTCCCTAAACCCTAAACCCTAAACCCTAAACCCTAAACCCTAAAGTTCCCAGGGCTTTTATTTGCCTCCTCAGAGGGCAAGCTTCGGGCCGGAGCGCTTTCAGGCTTATGCCTTACCAATGTGTGTCGTTCAACCCTCAACCCTAAACTCTAAGCCCTAATCCCTACTCAAACCCTAAACCCAGGTTATTACCCTGAACCCAAAACCCTAAACCCTGGCCCTAAACCCTAAACCCTAAACCCTAAACCCTAAACCCTAAACCCTAAACCCTAACCCCTAAACCCTAAACCCTAAACCCTAAACCCTAAACCCTAAACCCTAAACCCTAAACCCTAAACCCTAAACCCTAAACCCTAAACCCTAACCCTAAACCCTAAACCCCTACAAGTTGTGCTGGTTGAGCAAGACAGGGCTCCAACTCCCGGACGTGTTCCAGGGCCATGGTTAGGATACTCTGAAAGGTCGAGGGAGTCTCCTCCCCAAGCCTTGGGAAGACTGTCGGGGGTTAAGGGTTTAGGGTTTAGGGGTTACGGGTTTGGGGGTGGGAGTTTAGGGTTGAGGGGTTTTGGGGTTTAGAGGTTTAGGGGTTTGGGGGTTTGGGGGTTTGGGGGTTTAGGGGTTTTGGGGTTTTGGGGTTTACGGGTGTAGGGGTTTAGGGCTCAGGGCTTCGGGTTTAGGATAGCCTGGGTCATACTTACTGCTGCAATAACCAAAAAATATGAAGGCTACACTTTGTTCTTCTTACAAAGTCAGGAAGCCCTAAACACATAAGTTCATCTCTGGAAAAAAGTAAGTACAAGAAGGATGCCCCTTTTGTTCAAAGGGTGAATCAGGTATCCTAACCCTACCAAGGGCATGAGGGTACACTGGACATCCTTGTTGTTTTTGTGTTTTATTTGAAAATGTTTGGCGGTAAATAACAATACTTGGGTGTTGTCTTAAACCCTATGAAAAACAGAATCCTGAATATGATGCTCTTAAACCCAATACGGACATATATACCCTAATCCCTGACACCTAAACCCTAAACCCTAAACCCTAAACCCTCAACCCTAAACCCTACACCCTAAACCCAAAACCCAAAACCGTACACCCTGAACCGCACACCCTAAACCCTAACCCCTAAACCCTAAACCCTCAACCCTTACACCCTTAATTCTAAACCCACTCCCAGGCTGGGGACGTCCAGTTCATCCTTCCCTCCGTCAGAGCTCTCTGGAGAAGGGCCCGGGCCGTCCTCCGACCGGGGGGTTTGGGGTTGGTTGAGGGTTTAGGGTTTAGGGTTTAGGGTTTAGGGTTTAGGGTTTAGGGTTTAGGGTTTAGGGTTTAGGGTTTAGGGTTTAGGGTTTAGGTTTAGGGTTTAGGGTTTAGGGTTTAGGGTTTAGGGTTTAGGGTTTAGGGTTTAGGGTTTAGGGTTTAGGGTTTAGGGTTTAGGGTTTATGGTATGGGGTATGGGGTATGGGGTATGGGGTATGGGGTTTGGGGTTTATAGGTTTTACGGTTTACGTGGGTTTGCATGGCTTTATGTGGGAAACTTGGTTTTACGTGGGCTGACGTGGGTCGACATGGGTTTATCTGAGAAGCCGGGGTGGCCTCCACTCCACGTGAGGGTAACTTTGCCTAGGTCAAGTAATCAACGTACCCCACAAGAGGAACTACGCGTGGGGGTTTAGGTGAGGTTTAAAGAGGCTTGGTTTACCCTAATATAAACCCTATAAACCCTAAACCCTAACCCAAAAACCCTAAACCCTCAAGGGGCCGCAACTCATGTGTGTGGCCATCGAACATGCGGGCATGCCCGAGTTGAGACACGCCCTCCTCCTCGTCCACCCGAACATCCATCCATCCAGCATAGATGAACCCCCCCCAACAAAAAGAAGGAAACGATTCACAACAATACTAGGGCATGATCGTACAGATCGTACATACATATAATCTGTATACAGAATACAAAATAACAACAACAATAACAATAGTAATAGCAATAGCAATAGCAATAGCAATAACAGTAACAATAACGATAGAAAGTAAGACTAATCATAATAATAATAATAATAATAAGTCCCTCACCCCGGTCCAGTGCATGCGTCGGCCGGCAGCCAGGTCCTGGGTTTCGGGTTTTGGTTTATGGGCCGAGGGTTTAGGGGTCAGGGGGCCCCAACCCTCCAACTAGCCCTGAGCCCCGAAAACAAGTCTAACACTCACAAGAAGAACCTAAAGCTCCGAATATACCTAAGAAGCCCCAGAAGGCCCCGCAAAAAGGCCTGCAGAAACGAACAACCTAACAAACTAAACCCTGTCCTAAAAGCACCCCCCCCCCCCTCCCCCCAAAACCGCGGCACCCTAAACCTTTTTAAACCCTAAACCCTACACCCTAACCCCTAAACCCTAACCCCAAAACTGTGAACCCTAAACCCTGAACCCTAAACCTAAACCCTAAACCCTAAACCCTAAACCCTAAACCCTAAACCCTAAACTCTAAACCCTAAACCCAAACCCCTGGCTTGCGGGCAGGGCGTCGAGGTCGAAGAGCGACTCTGCCTTGATCAGAGCTGCGAGCAGCGTCACCGGCGTGCACTCGGACAGGCTGTGGGCGAAGTTGGCCATGATCTGAGGTTTAGGGTTTAGGGTTTAGGGTTTAGGACTTTAGGGTTTCGGGTTTAGGGTTTGCGGTACTTAGGAAATTAAGGTTTAGGAATTTAGAGCTAGCGAAAGCACGAAGCTGCGACACCATCTCTCCCACACAGGCCATGGCTATGGGGTTTAGAGCTCTTATGTGCTGGAGCCCGAAGAATCATTCAGGGGCAGTTGTAAGGAGGTCTTGAAAGTGCCCTAAGTACCTTGTCTCACTTCTATAGCCTTATATAGCCAACCTTCGGAATCAAACTTTGAAGTAACAGCGAAACTGCCGGCGTTGGCGCCTGTGTGAGAATCGCGACCATCTCAATACCCCACTGGCCTGCAAAGGTGCAGAAGGGTGTACCAAGGCTCTTCCTCACCCCCAAGATCCTTCTGGTCGTAGGGTTTAGGGTTTAGGGTTCAGGGTTTCAGGGTTTAAGGGTTTAAGGGTTTAAGGGTTTCAGGGTTTAAGGGTTTAAGGGTTTCAGGGCTTAAGGGTTTTAAGGGCTTAAGGGCTTAAGGGCTTAGGGTTTAGGATTTCACCTCGGAATGCCCCTAAACCCTAAACCCTAAACCCTAAACCCTAAACCCTAAACCCTAAACCCTAAACCCTAAACCCTAAACCCTAAACCCTAAGCCCTAAGCCCTAAGCCCTAAACCCTAAGCCCTAAGCCCTAAGCCCTAAGCCCTAAGCCCTAAACCCAATTCAGGGACGAGCTGCGGGTTTCATAGTACAGCCGCGCCCCCTCCAGGAAGCTCCGGAAGCCCATCCGGCTCCAACGCCGCGCGACTTCCTGCCTGGTTCAAGGTTTAGGGTTTAGGGTTTAGGGTTTAGGGTTTGGGGTTTGGGGTTTAGGGTTTAGGGTTTAGGGTTTAGGGCTTGGGGTTTGGGGTTTGGGGCTTGGGGTTTCGAGGTTTGAGTGTTTTGTTGCGGCTTGTGTCGGTGCATCGCGCGATGAGAACGTGGAGCTGATAGGTCTTCTTCAGCTTGTTAGGGGCTGAACCAGTAGGGCCCCCGTACTTTTCGAGCAAACATAGTCTCGGGAACTGAAAACACTGGCTGGTTCTAAGTCGGGAATGAGGGAATGAGGTACCCTGAAAAATCACTTAAAGGGTAGATAGAGGGGATTCCCTCATTCCCAACGAAGAACCAGCGGGAAGATTCAGAGGTTGAATTCAGAGAGCCTGCAGGCTAGGGCAAGGATTCAAGGGGAGCAGGCCTCAGGATTTTGGGAACTGTGCCTTCTAGACCTTACACACATACTTTAAGGCCCGAAGCTTGCAAAACCCGAAGCTTATCAACCCTGAAGCCTCCTAGACCCCAAACCCTGAACCCCGAAGCCTGAACACCAAACCCGACACCCTAACCCCCAAACCCCACACCACAAACCCCAAACCCCAAACCGCAAACTGCCGCAAACCCTAAACCCCCCAACCCTCAACCCCAAACCCCAAACTTCAAGGCAAAAAAAGGCCCGCAAGCCGAACCCCACTGTCCTCTGCTTCGGAAGGCTTTACGACTCTGTGCTTAAAACCCCCCTAACCCCCCCCCCCCCAAAAAAAAAAAAAAAAAAACACACACACACACAGAATAGTGATGCATGTAGTGCCCTGGTGAGGAAGAATATTTCTACTTTTCGAGTGGTTCTTAAGGAGATAGTAGTTTAGGGTATTTTAGGGCTTGAGGGTTTAGGGGATGTAAGTCTTCTGGGTTTGATGGCTTTAGGGTTTAGGGCTTTGAGGGCTTGAGGGGTTAGGGTTTTGAGCGTTGCACTTTTTTGGGTTCGGGGATATTTTTCGGGTTTTAGGGCTTACGGGTTTCTAGGCTTTATTAGGGTTTCGGGGGATTCTATGGCCTGGGTTGTGGAGGGCAAGATAGGGTCTAGGGTTTAGGGTTTAGGGTTTAGGGTTTAGGGTTTAGGGTTTAGGGTTTAGGGTTTAGGGTTTAGGGTTTACGGTTCCCCTGAAGCAAAACAGTGAATGCAGACCACGGCGCTTGACCCGCAGGGTGCGGTCGGCGGCCATTGTGGCAGCTCCCGAAGGTCTTTGGGCATCCGCAGGGTCCTATCGCCAGCGGCTGCTAGGTCTTGGGATGTTCCCCCTTAATCTACCAGTCCTTAATGGGGATTCTGGTACCCCCTCTTAGAATCCCTATCAAGGACTGCTGGCTTACGAAAATAAGGGACCCCTAATACAGACCCTCAAATAGTCGGATTCTCTTGCAATAGGACTTCAACAAGGAACCCCTAATATCGTAACTCCCCATTTCAAGACGGCCGCGAGCCAAAGTAACCCTAAACCCTAAACCCTAAACGCCAAACATTAAAAAGTTGAGGGGTGCGGCTCAGGAGGATCTATACACCCCAAACCTGCAAGGTTAAGGGGTGCTCGTTATAGGGCTTTAAGGATCAGCATGGTTTTGGGCGTATCGGGCGTCTAGGATTCGGATGCTCATCGCGCCTGCCGCACTCCGCGGGAAGTGGAGCCTTTGAAAGGAAGAAGCTCCTGGCCGCTAGGGCTTAGGGTTTCGGGTTTAGCTGCTATACCAGTCGGGCTCAGGGCCCCTCTCAAAAAGCCCACAAAACCCTCAACCGTAGGCTCCGAATGCCCACATCTTCTATGCAACGCTGGCTGAGGGTCTAGGGATATGGGGTTGGGATGCTCCCCTCAGAATAACAGTCCTTAACAGGAATTGTATAGTACCCCTATCTAGGCTGCCCAGTAACCAAGGCTTAAAAAGGGTGCCCTTTTCTGCTTGAAGGGGTTTATAAGGGAACCTAAACCCCCCAAAAAAGGGAATAAGGGCACTACTGGGCATCCTAGCACTATTAGAATCCCTATTATGGACCCTAAACCCTAAACCCTAAACCCTAAACCCTAAACCCTAAACCAAGTTTAGGATGCAGACAGGCAAGCCTCGCCTCCATATACTCGCCGGTGTTGGGGTGGTAGGCCGGGCCATGAAGCAAAGCCTCGCACGTTTAGGGTTTAGGGTTTAGGGTTTAGGGTTTAGGGTTTAGGGTTTAGGGTTTAGGGTTTAGGGCTATGCCCATCGCTTGCGTTAACAACCACCTTGGGGGTTTCGGGCTTTCAGGGTCCTAGTTGCTGAGTTCGAAAGCCCCCAAGAAGTGTACACTCTCAGTTCTGTAGGGGGAGAATAGTATCCCAAAAAGTGTGAGACATGTACTCATTTATAACTACTTAAATGATGTGGGGCGTTTCGGGTACTCTTTGGGTATCTACATAGGGTACTTGGGTCTTCGGGCCTTATAAGGCCTTAGGGGCGCCCATGTCGCTGGGAACACTGGGGCAGCGGCAGGGGCGAGCGCATGCGGAGCCCACGGAAACGTCGAGTCACAGCCCAGGTGGACGTCGCCCCAAGGCGAATCCACGACTTCAACCTGTGCTTCAGATGACATGAGCACGCTGTGCTTGGGGGCTTATAAGCACTTCCGGGGCTTAGGCTTTAGGGTTTTAGGGTTTTTAGGGCTTTTTAGAGTTTTAGGGCTTTTTAGAGTTTTAGGGTTTTTAGGGGGTTTATCGGGTTTAGAGGGTTTAGGGTTTAGGGTTTAGGGCATCAGGCAAATCAATTTCGGACTCCGCCTTCTGATATTGAGCTGGAGGAGGGCGGTGCCATGGGTGAGGACAGCAGACGTCGAAAGTGAGGATCGCCTGTGAGAAGCACAGGCCGAGGCCTCAGCTGTCATGATTTCTTCACCACACGCCACCCAGAATCCTTAAGCCACCTAAGAAACATACCTTGACATGTCCTAAACCCTAAACCCTAAACCCTAAACCCTAAATCCTATATTCCTGGTAGCACAAACCCGAAACCCCGGTGAGGGCCTGAGATCCCGACCTCCAGGGCCGTAAGTTCCGACGTCGCAGCATTCTTGGTACACCCACACGTCGCTCCAGCACACCACTTCGTGCGCCATCAGCTTAGGGTTTAGGGTTTAGGGTTTAGGGTTTGGGGTTTAGGGTTTAGGGTTTAGGGTTTAGGGTTTAGGGTTTAGGGTTTAGGGTTTAGAACACCTTCCCGGCCATGCCATCTGAGGGATGATAAACATCAAGGAGGCCCCTTTCTGGCAGCTTTAATGGGGGTTTCACTAGCATGGGTTTAGGGTTTAGGGTTTAGGGTTTAGGGTTTAGGGTTTGGGGTTTAGGGTTTAGGGGTCTATGATCCCAATCTTAGGTTAGAGGGTTCTTAAGGGAGGCAACCCTATGGAAGCTTGGGGAGCCTGAGCGAGGAGTGGGAGTTTTTGGGAACCTTGGGTTACATACCCCCCCTTGAACCCCCCTAAGAACCCTACAATTAGGGCTCTGTGAAGTTCTAAAGACAGCTGCGATTGACAGACCTCAACCCGGCGCGGCACACGAAGCACTGAACCCTAAACCCCAAACCCTAAACACTAAACTCAGAACAATGAGGGCTTAGGCTGATTTTCTGCTAGCACCGCCGTCTCCCAAGAAGCCACTACGCGCCACCTCAGAAGCGCAGCTTCTTGCGCATGTACAGGACATCCTGGATTTAGCGGTTTAGGGTTTAGGGTTCGAGGCAGCAGGGGGGCATTGTCCTTAGGGCTTTCGTCAACTGAGCCCTGACTTTACAAACCGCCAACTCTCAATCACCATTCTCACGAAATCCCCCAAAAGGCCCCAAACCCTAAGCTCAGAGGGAACTCTGTAGTCTTTTGGGCATAGATAGTAGACCTTATGGCAGTTCTTCCCCTAGTTGCAGCCCGCTTACTGCCCTCCCAGAGCCTTCAAGCAAGCTCAAAAGTAAACAAGCCCCAGACCCTGAAACCCTAAACTCTCAAACCCTAAACCCTGAAACCCTCACACCCGACTCCCTATACAGCCAAATAAGACCTGAACCCGAAACTCTAAACCCTAAACCCTAAACCCTAAACCCTTAAGCTTCTCCAAGTGTGCCCCGTAGACCCGGAGTCGCGCCTTGGAGGGCCGGCCGGCCTTGTCGAGGGGGGGCGACTGGAACTTCTCCTGGAAGAGGCCTCAGCTGATTTAGGTGTAGTGCATGTAGGGTTTAGGGTTTAGGGTTTAGGGTTTAGGGTTTAGGGTTTAGGGTTTAGGGTTCATTGGGGGTATGGGGTTCATGGTACATAACTGTACTTCGAACCGACTTGTAAGCCCCTTCAGTGCCCTAGTATGGTTATAAGGACAGTTATAAGTAGAGTTAGAATTGGTTAAGAAGTGCCTGCTTGGGGCTTCGAGGTTTGGAGAGGACTCGTGCTTTCAGGGCCTCATGAGTCAAGGTCTGAGGCTTCAGGGTAGCGGTGCCCCGGGGCTTTTTAAAGATGTTTCGGGTGCATCCGGCCTCTGTGCTGAGCATGGGACCCCATGGCGCCGAGTCTTCAAATCTTATCACTTCAAACTCTCAGACCCTCGAACCCTTAAAGCCTCCTAGAACCCGTAAGCCGCAAGCCCCGACACCCTGAAACCCTGAAACCCTGAAACCCTGAAACCCTGAAACCCTGAAACCCTGAAACCCTGAAACCCTGAAACCCTGAACCCGAAACCCCACCGGTAAAACGAAGAACAAGAACAATAAAGATAGTCATAACAATAAATACTGAGCGCAGAGGACACCAAGGCACTCTTGGCAAACTTCCGGGCTTCCTTTCGACCGTCCTAGTTCATGGTTGGGATAATATTAAAAATCTAAAATGTTATTCCTTAATTGTAGGGTTTAGGGTTTAGGGTTTAGGGTTTTAAGTACCCTTCAAAAAATGAAAAAATGGTACCTAACTATGACAGAGCATCCAGGGTGTCCATCTGCTGGTCGGTGCAGATGCTGGACGGGGAGAGCTCCGTGGGGACCTTGGGTGTGTAAATCTTTTTAATGAAGGCCCTAAACCCTAAACCCTAAACCCTAAACCCTAAACCCTAAACCCTAAACCCTAAACCCTAAACCCTAAAGGCCAAGGCATTAGGGTAAGGTGTGAAGGTTCGGTACTTTGAGGAGTTTTGGGGTTTGGTTTAGGATTTCATTTTTTGGGCACTAAGGCCATCAGGGCTCGGGGGGGCCGATTAGTTTCACGTTAGGGGCTAGGGGTTTAGGGTTTAGGGTCTGCGGGGTTTAGGGCGTTGGGTTTAGGGCGTAGGGCTTGTAAACTTGAAGTAGGAAGATGAGGGGTTCAGGGTTTAGGCCTATACTGGCATGCGGTCAGAAGGGATACGTACCTCCAAGTATTGAGAACTTCATTTGCAAGATAACCCTGCTTTTAAGCATTTTGAAGCCATGCTCGCGTCAGGGCTGAGGTTTGAGGGTGCGCCCAGCGGAAGGGAGATGCAAAGCGCCCGGCATTGTATCGCGTCGGCATGATGTGATTGTAGTTCACGTACTTCACAAAGGGCCTCAGAAATCAGGCATCTTCAACAGAACCAATTTCACTCTATTGCTTTGACCAAAAGATGGGCATGGTGGCATGGCCACGTTTTTGTGATGCGCAAATCTTAGTAACTTAACCCTGACAATCCGAGTCATGCTCGGAAGACGATGGAGAATGACATCGCACACACGGAGCGCATCCGAGCATCCAGCTTGACCTTGGTTCGCTTGGTGATCTTCTTCTTCGACATCTTCCTAGCGGTTTATGGTTTAGGGATCACAGCTTAGGTTTTTCCTGCAGGTTTTAGGGTGATATCCACCTAAGGCTGCAAAGCAACTAGAGCGGTTTAGGGGTTAGGGTTTATAGGGTTTATAGGGTTTATAGGGTTTATAGGGTGTATAGGGTTTATAGGGTTTATAGGGTTTATAGGGTTTATGGGGTTTATGGGGTTTATAAGGTCTATAGGGTTTCTAGGTTTTATAGGGTCTATAGGGTTTAGCAGTTCGGCTCCAAAAAGAGACACGGCGAGTCCCTAGTCCCCAGGATGCTCCGTTGAAGCACGGCGGTACATGCACCAGGCTTAGGAAGACGAGGCCAGCCCCCTCACCCCTAAACCCTAAACCCTAAACCCTACAACCGACAAGCCTTCAACCCTACAAGCCGCCTTTTCACGCCAAACAAACCCTAAATAACCCTAAGCCCGAAACCCTAAACCCATATAGAGCCCATAGACCCTGAGTAAGCCCTAAACCCTATCCCTAAACCCTATCAACCCCAAGTACTTCGAGGTTCATGGGTACTTACAACCCCAAGTATGAGTCTACTCATAGCCTACTTAGAGGACTTAGGGGGCTTCTAAGTGCAGTTATACTTGGGGTTCCAAGTACCCCATGAACCCACAAGTAGCCCCTCTGAACCCTAAACCCTAAACCCTAAACCCTAAACCTTATAAACCCTAAACGCTAAACCGTAAACCCCACAAGCAATGGACGCGCCGGCCTCGTCACCTTCAGTGGCGCTCGGTCGATTCCAGCCACCAGGGCGTGGCCGAAGGATCGGGCCTCCAACAATTCCCTAAACCCTAGCCCTAAACCCTAAACCCTAAGCCCTAAACCCTAAACCCGAAGCCCAAAACCCTAAACCCTACGCCCTAGACCTAAACCCTGAACCCTAGACCTAAACCCTAAACCCTAAACCCTAAACCTAAAGTAACCAATTCCCATGACTCCCAAGCCCTACGAATTCATAGGTTCTGAGGACCCCCCTAGATACGGCTGTCTAACTCCCCCAACTTCTAGGTAAAAATGGAGCCCCCAAGAACAGAAAACCGCAGGGCACCCTGCTTGGTCTAGCGTAGGGCTTTCAGGTGTTAGGGTTTAGGGTTTAGAGTTTAGGGTTTAGGGCTAGGGTTTAGGGTTTAGAGTTTAGGGTTTAGGGCTAGGGTTGAGAGTTTAGGGTTTAGGGTTTAGAGTTTAGGGTTTAGGGCTAGGGTTTAGGGTTTGGGAAGTAGGAGGTCCCCCCTGGAGACTACAGACTACAGGGGGAACCGAACCGCGAAATAAAGGGAAGCCAAACCCTAAAACCCTAAAACCCGAGAACCCCCCCCCCCCCCCCCCCAAAGAAGGGAAGTCTATCCCAAGATCCCAAGATCCCTAAACCCAACCTCCCAAAGAAGGGAATCCTAATCCCTGAGAACTAACAGCCCTAAGCCCCTAAATGCCTTGGAGCCGTCGTCAAAGGTCTTGACGACGATGGCCTTCACTTCGTCTTAGGGCTTTAGGGTGTAGGGCTTCGGGTTTTGAGCGGGGTTTAGGGTTTAGGGTTTAGGGTGTAGGGCTTCGGGTGGGTCTAGGGTTTGGGGCATGCTTGGGCTCTGCTTGGAGGTTCGTGGTACTTATTAATCAACCAAAACAACCCACTTACAGCCCTTTAAGTGCCCTGATAGGGTTGTAAGATGGTATAAGTAAAGTTAGAAGTACAGCTATATTGGTTAGCAAGTACCATGAACCTCCAAGTATCCCGAAGCATAGCCAGGAGATCTGGAGATTTAGGGATGCTGACCGATTCTCGCTTCAGCCTTCGCAAGCGTCTTAGGGTTTAGGGTTTAGGGTTTAGGATTTAGGGTTTAGGGTTTAGGGTTTAGCGTCACGTGGTGGTTGGTGTTTGTGGAAGCCATGATTTTGGCGTCGTTGCGTGCCAAGGGCATCAGCAGTCCAAGGGGTCAGACGTGCCGAGGACACGATTTTCAGAACCGTCGTCGTGTTCGGACCCTCAACCCGTCTTCGCTTGTGTGAGATGTGCCGATGGCCATGACGACATCCAGACGGCTGATACAGCTTACTGCAACCTGCTCTGCTTTGCGCATTAGGAATGGCTTGCACAATAGCTGAGTAGAAATTATCGGAGTTGAATATGCCTTGTGCTGATATTTCTTCGTTCGACGATCGTGATCGATATTCGGGACACAGCAACATCGAAACACATGGTTAGACCGAACATGAGCACCATGCAATCACAAAAAAGCCGCACCAGCTGCATCTCCTCAGGTTTTGTTGGGGGAAGGCAGTGGGAGGGCGGGAGATAATGGGGAGCAGCAAGACAGGCAAGGTAGCACCATACCAAATTTAAAAGTGCTGTACAAATGTAGTGTTGCAACTTGCGAGACATGCCCGCCGCAGGCCTTCTTGCCCGCGTAGCGGCCCTGCCAGTCAAGAAGCGTTGGACTGGACGCAGCAATATCGGCGCAGATTGCCTAAAGCACATACCAGAAACCTTACGGTACTGTGCTTTCACTGCACCTCCTACAGCACAGCCCAACGAAGTGACCAATCCCCACAATCCTACGTCCCAGCTCTTTCCCTAACCTGCCAGGCCTATGAGCCCATCCAGCCCCACACATGCTCCGAATATCCCCAGATCCTTCAAGCCTTGAAGGCCCTCAACACTGTTAACCCGACAAAGCTGGAAGAAATACTCAAGCATGTAAGCACACCAAGCCTCAAACGCCCTAAACGGCGGAAGAAACTTAAGCCCTATCAAACTAAAAAAAGCATATGAAGCCCAGTAGCACAACACCAACGCATGAAATAAATCCTACAAGTTGCACTTCATCCTCGGACCCTGTATCGCTGACAATACCTGGCTTATAAGGAGGGTTGTAATCTCTTGAGGTTTGGTCCAACCCTTAAACGCAACAGCATGAACCCCTGAACCCTAAACCCTCCTGCTAGGGGTTCAGGGTTTAGGGCTAGGGTTTAGGGTTTAGGGCTAGGGTTGAGGGTTTCGGTCCTAAGTTGCATGAGCCCTTCAGGAAGACTGGCCAGGCTTGTGCTGAGGCCGGGCCTGGAGCAGGACGACAACACGACCGGACTTGATGAATCGGCCTGAATAAGGTTTAGAGTCTAGGGTTTAGGGTTTAGGGTTTAGCGTTTTACGGTTTCGGGTTTCGGGCTTAGGGTTCAGGGTTTAGGGTTTCAGGGTCTCTTTCAGGGGGAGGCTCCTACGTAATTTTGAGGCTCCGAATTATATCGGGATCCGAAAAGGTAAACCCTAAACCCTAAACCCTAAACCCTGGGTCCTAGCTTCCCTGCACCTTCAATGCGGGCCTACTCATCGACCACTCCCAAGGGCTCAGGGTTTACGGACTTGTCCAGCTCTTTCGGGGAACCCAATGGTTTCGGGTTTAGGGTTTAGGGTTTAGGGTTTAGGGTTGAGGGTTGAGGGTTTAGGGTTTAGGGTTTAGGGATACTGTTTGGGATCATATGTCGACCATCTGCTCGGAAACCAAGTGCCCAAATTGGGCCTTGGGTTTAGAATGTAGGGCATACGATTTCCGGACTTCCGGGTTTCTTCCTAAAGCCTTAAACCCTAATCCCAACGGCTGTCAGGAAGCAAACCTCAGAGTTGTAGCTTGTCATAGGCCACACGTCCCCCCCAACATCCCACACCCTCTCTGCCCCAAACCCCCCTGAACCCTTAAACCTCAAACTTTGGGATGTTGGCCCTCATACGAACAGTTCTGTTAAAGGGATTGTAGTAGAGGTACTAGATTAAAATCTCTATTAAACTCAGTAATCTGAGTTGGAGGACTGCGAGCTTGCTAGCGAGTCACCCATCTTTAAGCCGAGCCGTTGGGAAGCGGCGCGGGTGCTAGTTGACGTTCCCTTGAGCCGGGTCGCGGGAAGTGGCACGCAGATCTCACACCTCACACAGATCTGACCAAGCTGCACCCAAGGTCTTGCCAGAGCGGTTCAAAGTTTAGAGCACGGAGTAGGGTTTAGGGTTTAGGGTTTCCTTTAGCGAGATCCACCTACCTTAGGCCCTCCAACCCAATTCCCGACACCGAGCATCTGATGTTGATGTGCGCACATCGGAAATTCATGTCTTCTGGATACCACGAAGATGTGAACCTCCGTCGGGCCTCCGGCCGTTCGGGTCCAGCATCTTCGCGAATCCAAAAGCAAGCATATATGCATACATAAATCCTGGAAACCATCCTGGAACCCATCCTTTGCACCGGGAACCTCTCATGTCATCGACCCCGTTTGTTGGGTCTAAGACACAACGCTGGTCCCGCTGTTACAACGACGACCTGGGACCCTCTTGACCTAAAGCTTTATGGGTAGAACCTCCTCATTAAGGGGAGAATACCCTGTTCCACGGGCAGGCCCAACGACCATGCTCATTAAGGGCAGTTACCACTAGCTGTAAAAGAGAGTCCCAGGTAGCCCATGGTTTCACACGAGTTCTCTGTGCGCGGATTGAAAGCAGATAAGTAGAGGTGCAAGTCGTGGGCTCTCCAAGGGGGTTGAGAAACGGGGAACCTCGAGATTGCCCTGGGGATGAAATGAACCCTAAAAGTGTTTAGGGTTTAGGGTTCAGGGTTTAGGTTTTAGGGTCCATATACCTTGATAAAGATTACAACAGCAAGGGGTATATAACCCCAGTTCGAGGGTTCGTTTGATCCCCAAGGTGGCGCAACGGCCCAGGTTGCGGCGTTCATTGCCGGTCAGCCAGGACCCACGCGCAAACCTCGTGCTGGTTGAGGGTTTAGGCTTTAGGGCTGTGGGGATCAGGCTATGGCTCAATGGTTCTTACCTACAACTTGGCCCTTTCTTTTTTTTGTGGGGGGGGGGGGGGGGGGGGGGTGGGGTGGGGGGGGGGGGGGGGGGGTGTGGGGGGGGGTTGGGTGGGGGGGGGGTGGGGGGGGGGGGGTGGGGGGGGGGGGTGGGGGGGGGGGGGGGGGAGGAGGGTGAACCGTATAATTCAGGTCATGTCCCCAATGCCATGAGAATCCCTATTCAGGTATATGCGTTGGGATGTTCCCTCTTATATCCCTAAACCCTAAACCCTAAACCCTAAACCCTAAACCCTAAACCCTAAACCCTAATTAAACCCTAAACCCTAAACCCTAAACCCTTTTAGGGCTCCTTTCGTCCCCAGCCATGAAAATTTTGAGGGGTTCATTCAATTCCCCAAAATCGGGAATGACGCCCAAGGCCCGCGCACAGGTAATGTCATCCATCTTTCCACCAGTGTGGGCGATCCCGGCCTCACAGCTAGGGTTTAGGGTTTAGAGTTTAGGGTTTAGGGTTTAGGGTTTAGGGTTTAGGGTTTAGGGTTTAGGGTTTAGGGTTTAGGGTTTAGGGTTTAGGGTTCAGGGCCCCCCACCCTCCCGCGGGTTCCGAAAACGCTCGCCTTACCCCTATAAAGCCTTGATATACACCCGTTGAAAATCCTATAAACCCCAAAATTTATCTGAAGTACGGGCGCTTGGGCTGTATAGGGTACACCCAAAGCCGTCCCCATTTAAGGGCCCATACTGAGAGACCGCGTAGCTACCCTAAACCCTAAACCCGAAACCCAAACCCTAAGCCAGCGCCTTGCGGCCATGGACCGAGAACGGCGTCCTGAGGTGCTTCATGGCTTAGGGTTTAGGGTTTAGGGTTCAGGGTTTAGGGTTTAAGGTTTAAGGTTGAGGTCCCTTACTTAGGGTCCCCTACTTAGGGCTTAGGGTGTGGGGTTCAGGCCCCTACTTAGGGTTTAGGGTTTAGGTCCCCTACTTAGGGTTTAGGTCCCTTGGTCCTACTTACTTAAGGCTCATGGTTTAGGGTTCATGCCCTTCAATTGGGTCCCTTATGTAGTGAGGGTTCAGGGTGTAGGTGCCCTGCTTGGGGATTTAGGTCCCTTACTTAGGGTTTCGGGTTTAGGTTTCGTATGTGTCCCTTACCTAGGGTTTGGGGCTTAGGTCCCTTACTTAGGCTTAAGGTCCCGTACCTAGGATTCAGGGCTTAGGTTCCCTTCTAAGGGCCCTCTCAACCAACAAGGCCACCCTTGTTGTTCCTAGGTCACTCCTGGGTTTAGGGTTTAGGGACTTCAGGGTTCAGGGTTTAGGGTTTAGGGTTTAGGGTTTAGGGTTTAGGGTTTAGAACCCAACCCCCCTTAGTGAAACCGCCCCTCCGACCTCCCCTGTGGAACCCGAGACCCGAAACCCTATACCCTAAGTAAGGGACATCAACCCTAAACCTTAAGTAAGGGAGCTAAAGCCTGAATAAGGGACTTTACCCCCCCCCCCCCAAAAAAAAAAAAAAAAAAGGGAATAAGGGCCTACTCGTTCTGGGCTCTAAACCCTAAACCCTAAACCCTAAGCCCTCAACCCTTTAAACCCTAAACCCTCTGAACCCCTACCTAAAAAAATGGCGGCTTCACGTGCCCCGGCCTTGCATCGCGACTAAGGGAGCGCCAATGCGCTGCCTGTGCCAATTCGGTGGTTTTGGGTTTAGGGTTTAGGGTTCCGGGTTTAGGGTTAGGGGTTCATTGTTTTGGGTTCAGCGTTTGGACATTTAGGGAATAACGTGGGGGGTTGAAATTGACACTAGAGCTCAGAGACTCCCAGGATTTGGGGTTTTAGGGTTCCTGCGGCGTTCTCCATCGGATGGGGGGGGGTTTTGGGTGTGGGATCTAGGGGTTGTTAGGTGGTCATGGTGCCTGGCTTTCGGGTTTGATGATGTAGTTCGATTTGTAGAGTTTAGGGGTTCTACTGTGGGAGTTTAGGGGATTTTGGGGGCTTAGGGCCCTAAACCCTAAACCCTAAACCCTGAACCCTAAACCCTAAACCCTAAACCCCAATTCTGCTTCCATCCTGCCTTTGCAAGGGCTTCGGCGATCTGGGCCTGCAGCTTCCGCGAGTCCCCTTTTGGGTGCCCATTGTTTAGGATTTAGGGTTTAGGGTTTAGGGTTTAGGGTTTAGGGTTTAGGGTTTAGGGTTTAGGGTTTAGGGTCCAGGGTTTAGGGTTTAGGGTTTATTTTGGGTCGGAAGAATTACTCATAGTATTCCCCTATTGTCCCTTTGTAATAATCGCAAATAACCGCCAAAACCCTGTTCTAATTCTTAAGGCACCTATATGAGGGTCCCTGGGCAAGTCTTCAACTTAAGAGTCCCTTGTTGGGTGCCCATTAGTATGGTTTAGGGTTTAGGGTTTAGGGTTGAGGGTTCAGGGTTTAGGGTCTAGGGCCTGAAAGGCAAGATCATCTGAGTGCTGCCCTCACGGAGGACCAAGGATCCGGGGCTCACTCTGCACTCGGCTGGCTCTCACTGCTTGGCCCCAGGCTGCTTCGGTGAAGTGACCTTGGGGGTTTAGGGTTTAGGGTTTAGGGTTTAGGGTTTAGGGTTTAGGGTTTAGGGTTTAGGGTTTAGGATGGCGGCGACTGCACACTGCCCCAACCCGGGTTGTCATCATGGGCCTGGGCCAGAGGTTAGATTTACGACTAAGTGCTGAAGAATAAGCGCTAAGAAAGTTGTAAAAACTCCATTTTTCCTTGTAAGGGTAACGTGGGGATTTTCATCGTTCGTTTTTGGTGGGCCCTTTCAAGCAAGCAGTAGTTGAGCAAACCCTAAACCCTAAATCCTAAAGCCTAAACCCTAAAAAAAGGCCCCACAGCCCTTCCCTGGAGGTGCAATTCTGGGGGCGGCGCCGTTCTCCACCTCCAGCGGGCCAACCGCCGCTGCGACGATGTTGCAAACCTGGCGGCGCAAACCGCAAACCCTAAACCCTAAACCCTAAACCCTAAACCCTAAACCCTAAACCCTAAACCCTAAACCCTAAGAGCATTAAGCCCCATGAAGCCCTAGGCACCCTGGAGGCTCTTAGCCCTATAAACCCTAATCCAACACCGCGAAGTGCTCGGAGTGTATCGGAGTGCTTGCCTCTGGCATGTAGAGGTTGTCCCACAATCCGTCAGTGCCTCAGCTGGGGGGCTTAGGGTTTAGGGTTTAGGGTTTAGGGTTTAGGGTTTAGGGTTTAGGGTTTAGGGTTTAGGGTGGCTGGGTTGGTGCCGTAGGTTTCTTTGGGTTCGAACTCAGATAAGGCTGAAAGACGAAAACCCCACACGTGCTTCATGCTGCAGTTTCAAAGGCCGGATGCTGCGGGGGGTGGGTTACGACTCTCGTCGTAGGGGCCGGGCCCAGGACGAGCACATCGCCCTCCCGGACTGAAAAGCTCAAAAGCTGTGAGTCCTGATGGATGCCGTGCTCTGGGGGCTTGGGGATTTAGGGTTTAGGGTTTAGGGATTTCTTGTGGGCGGGGCGGTTGGGAGGGCGAACGGTTTTAGAGTCGGAGCTTCAGGCTGTAGACGAACATCCTGAGACGATGCATGTCTCCTCTGGGCCATCGTCCTTTCGACCGGTCGACTTTTGCATCGCCTTGACCAAACTCTCCTCGCGGCAGTTCTGGAGGGTTACGTAAGGGGCCGATTTTTGGCTTAGGAGCTTAGGGTTTAGTAGGGTTTAGTGTTCAGGGTTTAGGGTTTAGGGTTTAGGGTTCATCGCAATCCCTTCAAGACAAAAACATGGGGACCCGAATGATTTCGAAGTCTTGGAAGATGCCTAGCAGCCCAGTGAGCCAGCGTAATACAGGGTATAGGGTTTAGGGTTTAGAGCTTTGGGGGTTATTATAGATAAAACTACAAAGGGACCATCAGGGAATACGAGTAGTAATTCTTCCGACTCCTAAAGTAAGCTCCTTCCCCTCCCGCATCAGCTTTGGATAGTCTGCAGGGTCTGGAAAACGAGCAAGTTGTCGCCTGGCGCCAAGCGTTGCTGAGCCAGGGCATCCCCCCCAAGATTTAACCCTCACTACATCCTTCTAAAAATGCTAGAATGGGAGTATTTAGTGATACGTGGCAGAAGCAAGATTTTTGTTTCGGGGCAGGGGGGGGGGGGGGGGGGGGGGGGGCGGGGGGACGAATCAGTTCTCTGGACCAGGGTCCCTTCTTTGGGGCGCTGAGGAACCCACATGGGATTTAGAGTCTATACAGTCCAAACTTCAAAACTTCAAAGAACTACCCGCGCTAACTCCCACTTCACAACACAGATCTGGCCAGGCGCACGGTTGGTTGAACTTCACCTGCAGCAGAACAAAAGAGACTCTTCAGTCCGAACTGCAACGGCCGTGCCGCCCGAATGTTGAAGCACCTGCTGCTCCTCGGTGCGGCAGATGCAGCACATTCCACCTCCGACCTGCCAGCGGAGAGGCAACAAAATCCTAAACCCCGAAGCGTTCTTGAAGGCTCCGTAAGCTTCGTAAGCAGGATACAGGAAGCGAATCTAGAAGCTACTTGCTTCAACCCTAAACCCTGAACCCCAAACCCCAAATCCTAAACCCTAAACCCTAAGCCCAAATCCTAAACCCCAAACCCCTAAACCCTACACCCTAAACCCTGAATCCTAAACCCTCAACCCTAAACCCTAAACCCTAAACCCTAAATTCGACTCCGCATCTTCCTGCAGCTTCCGGTGCGGCCTCCTCCCGGCGCAGGACGGCCAGTGCCTGAACCAAGGGTTTGAAACTTAAAACGCAACAACCCTAGGGCCCTGAAACCCTACAAGTTTAGGGTTTAGGGTTTAGGTAGGGTTTAGGGTTTAGGGTTTAGGGTTTAGGGTTTAGGGTTTAGGGTTTAGGGTTTAGGGTTTAGGGTTTAGGGTTTAGGGTTTAGGGTTTAGGGTTTAGGGTTTTCGGTTTAGGGTTTAGGGTTTAGGGTTTAGGGTTTAGGGTTTAGGGTTTAGGGTTTAGGGTTTAGGGTTTAGGGTTTAGGGTTTAGGGTTTAGGGTTTAGGGTTTAGGGTTTAGGGTTTAGGGTTTAGGGTTTAGGGAACCCTACAACCCCAAAGACCCTACAACCCTGAAACCCTTAACCCTATAACCCTAACAAACTCCTTGGGCCATGATATATACAGAGACCTAGAACAAACCCTACACCCCTACAACCTAAGGCCCTACAACCCTAAAAAGTTCTGGGGCCATGATCGGAAACCCCCTACAACCTCAAAACCCTAAACCCTAAACCCTAAGCCCTAAACCCTAAACCCCCAGTTTCGGAAACCCCCATATTCGAGACCGGCTGAAGAACTTGCCGGGGCTACTGAGTCGCCCAAGCTGGCGATGCCCAGCTGCCCGCCCCTGCCACCATGCCAAGGGTGTGGTTTAGGGTTTAGGGTTTAGGGTTTAGGGTGTTTAAAGGGTTTATAGGGTTGAATTAGGTTTTCAAATGGGGTTTTAGGGTTGAAGAGTTGTTATAGGGTTGAATTCGGGTTGTTTTACAGGTTTTTTTGCAGCGTTTTTGGGGCTGAATTAGGGTTTATATAGGGTCTATATAGGGCTTAAAGGGTTATAGGTCTTCCTGCAGATTGTAGGGCTTATAGAGTAAGGGTCTAGGGTTTCCAGTTTACTGTTGGGTTGGGCTTCTAGGCTGAAGGGTTTAGCTTTCAACAGACATCACAGGCGACCGAACAATGTTTGGCTGGTTTGGTGGCGTTGCGGGGGGCCTTGCGCAACTCTGGTTTGTGGTTTAGGGCTTGCTTGGGGGGGGGGGGGCTGGCAGCCTGCTTAGAGGCACATGGAGACAGAGAGAGCTTACTCAAACCCTAAACCCTAAACCCTCAGCCCTAAACCCTAAACCCTAAACCCTAGACCGGGTTCTGGGCTCAGTTTGGCCAGGATTTCAACCTTCGGCCCCCGAAGCCGGGCCCCCTTAACCCTACAAACCCTGTAAACCCTGCCAGCCCCAGAAGCCCGAAACCCAAAATCCCAAGGCCTAACCCGTAAACTCTCTAAGCCCTCTAAGCCCTGTAAGCCTTCGGCCTTCAACCCTACACGCTCGAAACCCCAAACCCTAAACCCTAAACCCAGAGGCAGCCCTGAACCCTGCACGCCCGAAACCCTAAACCCTAAACCCTACACACTAAACCCTAAACCCCCCGAAGCCCAGAGACGCGCAGCACAACGGAGCTCGACCTGCCCAGCGCCGTCACCAAGGCGGTCGCGGATCCCAGTGACCTGAACTGAAGGTTTAGGGTTTAGGGTTTAGCGTTTAGGGTTTGAGGGTTGAGGGTTGAAGGTTGAGGGTTTAGGGTTTAGAGTTAGGATTTAGGGTTGAAGTTTCTAGGGGCTTGGGGCTCGGGGTTTCGAATTCCCTTCCAAACCGTCAACAACCCTGTTCGTGAACACTGAACCCAAACCCTAAACCTCATGGAAAAGGAAAATCGGGCATGAGAGGTTGCCCCAAACCCTCAGCCCTAAACCCTAAACCCTAAACCCTAAGCCCTGAACCCTAAACCCTAAACCCCGAACCGGGAGCCCCAGCTTGGTCTGTTGGTGCGCCTTCTTGAGTGCCTCGAGCACGTGCCTTGGACCCAGTGCGCCCAACCTCCCCCGTAATTCAGGAATCCGGGTCTGGGGTTTTGCGGTTTAGGGCTTGGGGTTTCGGGTTTAGGGTTTGTGGTTTAGGGCTTAGGGGTTTCCGGGTTTAGGGTTCGGCTTAGGGTTTCGGGTGCAGGGTGTGGGGCTCTGGGTTGTAGGGCCCCGAGACTCCCGAATCAAGGCCTGGGTGTGGGGGGGGGAAGGCTTCATCGCAGGTATATACAGTACCTTTAGTTCCATACCTTAACCGCCTCAACTCGCAAGAAAGAACCCTACTAGGATGGCCCTTAAAACCCTCGGAAACAGAAGCTAGCGGTTTCTTGATCGGGCCGTAACTCTACTCCGTAAGACACCCACAGTGTTTCACTAGGGTGTCTTGGCCGGGTTCGGGCAATGTGGGTAGGTAGTTTGGGTGTATTGGGATCTTGACTTGGGTTCACATGGCTCGGTGGGGAGTAGGGTTAGGGCTTAGAGGGCTTGGGGCTTAGGGTTTAGGGTTGAGGGTTTGGGGTTTAGGGTTTCGGGCTTTAAGGTTTAGGCGCCAATCTGATGAAGCGCCCTTTGGCCCCTGGCTGGCTCAAGTCCTCAGAAACGTCGCAAGGGTTGTGTGCGGTCAAGAAGTCCTGCCAAGGCCCGGCTCTCATAGTTCTTGGCAGCCCAGTAACCATGCTACGGTAAGGGCACCCTTTTTTGGGGTTGGTTACTTTTCTAAGGGAACCCAGGACCAAAAAAAATATTAATAGTGGGTACCACTGGGCTACCAAGTTTTTAGGGAGGGAGGAAGGGGGGGGGGTTTCGAGTTCTTTCTGGGCTTGCTGTGCGCTTCCAACGTGGATGGTGAAGATTGGAGGACAGCTACAGTCGCCAGCTTACCGTCAGAGTTGGCCCTAAACACTAAACCCTAAACCCTAAACCCCAAGCTAAAAGCCTTGACCCGACGCCCCCAAAAAGCCTCATGAAGCCCTTCTTGGAGAGGGTTTAGGGTTTAGGGTTTAGGGTGTAAGGTTTAGGGTTTAGGGTTTAGGGTTTAGGGGTTAGGGGTTAGGGGTTTAGGGTTTACGGGGATACTTCTAACCCCGAAAGGAAAATCGGCTAATGACCTACTAATACTTATGAGTCAGTGAGGACTTAGGGGGCTTGCAAGTACAGCTCTACTTGGGGTTCTAAGTACCCGTGAACCTCCAAGGAGTCAACGCTCGAGCCAAGAGAAGCCTAGAGCCCTAGTAAAACCCGATAGGGTTTAGGTTTAGGGTGTAGGGTTTATAGGGTTGAGGGTTCAGGGTTTAGGGTGCGAATCTCAGCAGTGCGCTGCTCTTGCGCTCCCGGCAGCCCCACATGAGCTCATCGGCGAAGTGGCGTGCGTTGATGCCTCTATAGGGGTTGCAGGCGCTACATCGTATAGGAACTTATATGGGGGTCTCCGAAATTAGGGTTACCTTATTGGGGTCCTTAATATAAGGGGATCCTAGTATTTGGGGGTCGAGTTTAGGGGCCCCCTACCTTCGTAAACGCCCATATGGGTCTTCGAGGGGTTAGTTGTACTAAGTATTGCACGATATCTGGCAGTCAGAGGGTCGGTTCAGTAGGTTGCAGAGGGTTTAGGTTGTCTCGGCCGCCACACAGGTGCTGCTGTTTCCTGGGGAGCTGACCGAAGCGCCACCCCCATTCGCCAACACCGTCAGCCACCTAAAGAAAGAGTGGCGACGGCTGACCATAGGGTAAAGATACTGAGAAGCAACTGGGGTCTTGTTTCACTCAATGAACGGAAGCCTCGTGTATGACTCGAGTGCCCCTTTCCCCCTCGACGACCTTTGCCTGAACTCTGTTCATTTGGGGATTTGCGACTATAAGGGGGCCCTTTCTCTAGATCCCCAAATTGTAGGATTCCCTTATCAGGACCCCAGAAAGGTGCCCCGGATTTCGGAAAGCCCCTGTTCATTTCGTTTTCGTCCACGCTGTGTCCTATGCCCCTCAACCTGTCAAAGGAGAATAGAAGGGAGGCTGAACCCTTGAAACCCCAAACCCTAAACCCTAAACCAGAGGATTTATACCCCTTACAAACCTGTAAATGGAGAATTCTAAGGGGGAGTCTAAGCAAGGACTTTACCACACCCCCTGAACTTCCTTCCTCCAAGGGTTTAGGGTTTAGGGTTTAGGGTTTAGGGTTTAGGGGAGTATGTTGAACGTTTCATAGACTTCCTGAGGAGAGACTGCTCCCACCCTATTAAGTCTCCTTCTGCTTGAAGCTTCATGGGAACTCATAACCCCAATGAGCAGTCTACTTGTCATCTACTTAGGAGACTTAGGGGGCTTAAAGGCAGCTAGAATTGGGGTTTATATCTGTACCCTGAATACTTAACACGTAATTACTTAGGAGACTTAGGGGGCTTGTAAGTACAGCTAGAAGTGGGGTTATAACTGTACCCTGAACCTCCAAGTATGATTCTACAAGCCCGGACATCATCCGACCGAGCTCCCTGCCCCAAGGCAGCGAAGGTTGTCACCCACAAAGTAGCCTCCCATAGGGGAAGGGGGGCGTCGAGGCTCACACCTCATACCACTAGGGTTTAGGGTCTAGGGCTTCGGCGATGCCGCAGTGTGCTGAGGGCCGCGCTATCCTCATTTCCGTGTTTGTTCACCTGAGGCCACCCGATCTTCACAGCTAAACCCTAAACCCTAAACCCTAAACCCTAAACCCTAAACCCTAAACCCTAAACCCTAAACCCTAAACCCTAAACCCTAAATCCAAACGGTGCCGGGGCCGGCGCTTTGTCCGGGTGCGCTATGGAAAAAGCACCAGGATGGAACTTCAAGGATCTCAACTCCGGATCCTGCCGTGCCATCTGTACCCAAAGAGCCCAATATCCCTTAATTGAGGAATATCTACCTTAAATTCATAAAAGGGATCCTTATTATGACTTAAGAATATTTAAGATATATTCCTTAATTGAGGGGTATTGGGCTCTTTGGGTACATGCCATGCAAGACGCGGAGACACGGTGGCTCCCAGCACCTTCGGAGAGGCGCGTGGGTGGAAATCCATTGGCCTGGTGTGGTCTCTGGGCTTCGGGCTTTGGGCTTCGGGCTTCGCATAGACGTGCCATGCGAAGTGGGTGGCCTGTGGAGAAGCTCGTGCACCTCCTGTCGGGCACTCTTAGCACACTCACATCACCAAAATCAGGAAAAAAACTTCAGATCAACTGGCAGAGCAGCAGACTCACGCAAAATTAAGCCCCAAAAGCTTCGCAAGCCCAAGCTCCCACCCCCTAACCCCACAACGAACCCCGAAGCCCTAAAACCACCCACCCCTACCCACAGATCCGGCCTGGGGCCAGCGCATGAGTAAGGGCTCCACGTGCTCCAAAAACGGGCTGGTGCCTGTGCCTCCAAATTTCTACGGCTTTCGAGCTTAAGGCTTTGGGGACTTTGAGAGCTTCAGGCTTAATTAGGGTTTAGGGTTTAGGGTTTAGGGTTAGGATTTATGGAGGTTATCTTCGGGTAGATGCAAGGGCATTGAATGTGGCCCCTTATAATTTGGAACCCTCTTGGCATGTGTTCTTTGACTCTCGGCGCCCGGCACAACGAAGACAAATACTCCGAGGAGCGGCGCCTTAGATGCGATGGGAAGAGATGCGGGCAGGTCGGGGTATAAAGAGCTACTTGGAGGTTCAGGGGGTACTTAGTAACCCATTCTAAGTGTAGCTCTAACCCACATAGAAGCCCCGTCAGTACCCTAATATAGGGCTACAAGTTATAATTGGATTATAAGTACGGCTATAGTTTTAGTTGGGTTACTAAGTACCATGAACCTCCAAGTATGCAAGCTCCCGGCCTCTCGCGGACCATCCTCGGCCTAAGCTCCACAGAGAAACCCTGTGTAGTCCGTTTGATCTTCACTTTAGGGTTTAGGGTTTAGGGTTTAGGGTTGCGGGTTTAGGGTTTCGGGTTTAGGGTTTAGGGTGCTGCAGAGCCCATGATAAGACCCATTGCAGGAGCCGAAAGAAATGCTAACCGTGGGGTAGGCTTCAAAGATGTAGGCCATGTGGGTTGATGGGTTGGGGATCCAAGACGAACCCTAAGAAGCCCCTTAGGGATTATCCACCCCGAAATGTATAACCTTGCCTCTGAGAAAACTGAGCGGTGACTCGTGCTGCAGGGCTCACTTCAGGTCTACCTAATCCAACTTAGCTCATTCAGGTGCATATAATTATCATCTCCCTAAACCCTAAACCCTCAACCCTAAACCCTAAACCCTAAACCCTATACCCTAAACCCCTTACAAGCTTATGACCCACTTCCTTAAGTTCAAGTGTCCGTAGACAGGGCCCGTGCTGCGTCGACTCGGGCTCCTGTTCGGCCTTTCGAGTGACCTGGCAGCAGTTTTAGGGTTTAGGGTTTAGGGTTTAGGGTTTAGGGTTCAGGGTTTAGGGTTTAGGGTTTTAGGTTTAGGGTCTAGGGTTTGGGGTTTAGGGGTTTAGGGTTCAGGGTTTAGAGTTTAGAGGGGTTTAGGGTTTTGGGGTTTCCGGTTTATGTGTTTATGCGATCAAGGAGCTCAGGCATTTGGGCTTAGGCGGCTTCAGGCAGCTTTTGGCGATAGACAGAACGGACTAGACTGGACGCACGGATTCAACCCTAAACCCTAAACCCTAAACCCGAAACCCTAAACTCTACAAAACCCTAAGCCCTAAACCCAAAACCCTAACCCTAGACCCTAAACCCTAAACCCTACAAACCAGTTTCCCAATCGCGACGTCATAGTTTCTGAAGTACAACCTGGGCTTCAGCAATCGCATTGCCAGACCTCCTAGGAACCAGCGGAGGAGGTGAAGGTGGCCGATGTAACGATTGCCCCTCTGACTTTAGGCTAAGGTCTACGGCGATGAGGAGCTAGAGGAGTCCGGGTGGTGGGTGGTGTTGGGTGGTGTGTGGTGGGTGGTGCTGGGTGGTAGTGTGGTATAGTTGTGGTAACTTCAAAAGTCATACTCCTGAGTCCCGACGAAAAGCCATGCTTCTGAAGACGACAGTTTTCAACATGGAAAGCCCCCCCCCTCCGACTAATCGGACCACCCAAGCCCTAGCATCTTCCGGAAAGCCCGCATAGAACGCTCCTGATCCGGTTCAACCGCACCTCCGCAAGCGAGGGTGCAGCAGAGTCATTGCCTCGAGATCTCAGAGCGTACGTGTAAAGCGTGTAGGGCTTAGGGGCACAGCCCCTGTCTGAATCTCGAATTAAACGACTTTCTGAGTGCAGAGCTGATTCCTTTCAGGCCATACTTGAACTTGTCCAGCGCCTGCGAAGTCACCCTAAAACCAATTTCAGGGTGAAAGGTTTCGGGTCAACTCTGATCCACCCTAAACCCAAAACCCTAAAGCCCTAGAGTGTCTCCCACAAAAAACCGACCAGTGACTCCCAAACCTTGCCAAGTAGTAGGTTAAATATAGGGTGTAACTCCAAGATAAGGTCTCTTTACCCCCCGAAACATAAGGTATAACCCCCAAACTATAGCCCAACAAATAGGGTGTAACCGCCAAAAACCCAGAGGTTACAACCCCCTTGATATGAATTAACTACATATGTCAAGAAAGAGAACCCTTTCTTGACATTTCAAGCATGGCTAAGACAAGAACCTCATTGTCATTAATATTATTATTACTATTATGATGATGATGATGATAATTAGTATTATGATTCTGAATATTATTATTATTATTATTAGTATGATCATTACTACTATTCGTGTTTTTAGAGTATGCTTATAATTACCCTAAACCCTCAACCCTAAACCCTATAGTATTACGATTAATTATGACCAGCGCTCCTCAAAGCTGGGCGTCTCCCGGAGCTGCCCACCATCCTCGGCAGGGTCGGGCATTCCGCCGTAGGGTTTAGGGTTTAGGGTTTAGGGTTTAGGGTTTAGGGTTTAGGGTCTAGGGTCTAGGGTTTAGAGCCTCCCCAAAACCTTCACAGAAGAGTAGTTACGTTGAGAGACGGGCGACGGGGTAAGGCGACTGATGCTGAAGACCAACTGTACAATGACAGCTTACATGTACATGATTCAGACCCGTGTACATGCTGCATGCCAAGGGCTTTTCACGCACGCACTTGAGATTTGGCCTAAGAGCTTCGGAAGTCGTTTTCTTTTTTCTTGGGGGTGGGG